AATCTGGAAGCATCAGCCTGAGCCTCAGTCTTGACCACACAGGGCTCTGCACATCTCCCTCCCACCTTGATATACTGAATCATGGGATCATGTCCACCTTCCGGTTTAGTCCAGAGGTTGGCATTTTTTCTAGAAAGTGCCAGATCATAAATATCTTGGGCACTGTGGGCCATACTATCTCTGTCACAACAATTCAACCCTGCTGTTATAGCACAAAAGCAGCCCTAGACAATAAGTAAACAAATGGGCATGTTTGTGTTCTAATAAAGCTTTATTTACAGCAAACAGGTTGTGGGCCAGATTTGGCCTGTGGACTGTCATTTGCCAACCACTGATTTAGACCATAAGTAGGAATCCTGTTTGTTTTACCCTCATGTCTCCCTGCCTACACCTTGTTGGCACATAGTAGGGGTTGCCTCAGGAAATATTTCCTGAACTATATTGAGGGTCAATCGTGTAGGCATAAGTGTTAGCAGATTTTAAAAGAATAACAATGGGGGAAGACCCATCCAGCATTTGCCAGAGAATTTCTATATATTGTTTAACTGTTTTTCTATGTTGGACACTTAGGATGTTTCTGATTTTTTAAATTAATAATAACAAATGTGATGAGCTGCTTCCTACAGAAATCATTGGCCTAATTTCTTACTATTTCCTTAGCATAAATTCCTAGAAGAAGAATTAGGGTCTTATATTACTAAATGGCTTTCCAGGAAGGTGGTATTGATGTACATTCCTAACAGTAATAAGAGGGAGATATTATCATTATGCAAAGGATTTCTTTCAACAGAATGTCATGAATAAAGGTTTTGGCATCCATATGTATTTCCACAAATTAGCTTACTGCAAATAAAAGTAAATTGGTGTTAGATACTAATCATTTTAATAATAACATTCTCCCACACTGTTGTGACAGCATGATTATTAAGGCACGTTGTGTTACCTGTCCGTGTCATCTAGCCAACCAGTTGAGGTTGCCGTATCTGGTGTGTTTAGTGAGCACACACAGGAACATCTGTTTCCCATTAGGGAATCAGAAGCTCCACTATCTGCACGCCCAGCTCCGGCCTACCCTGCCATGATGTACAGAGGCCTCCTCCCAGTGAAATCCACCACCAGATAGTCACGCAGATTGCTCATTTCCCTCAGGAAATTTCATTTAGGTTAATTTTGGCACACAATTGAGGGCAATTCTTGAGCAATTTCTCTTGTGATGGCTTGCAACGTGTAAAATTTTCCTACAACATGTTGCAGAAATCACTGGAAGAATACTAAGGATGTCTGATAGTTGTCCAATTGCCTTTGTAACAGCAAGAAATATCTCTTTTGAACCACAGTACATGGTAAAAAAAAAAAAAAATGAAATAAATGTAGATCGAGGAGCAAGTGTTCATCCTGTCCCTTTTCACGAGGTGCTGTTGGAACAGGAAGGGTGAAGGGACCACGCAATGTGCCTTACCCTTATGGTGAACATTGGCCCTTTCTTAGCTCTTTGGATTTTTCTGACTTCCTCCAAATGAAGAAGAGAATATCTGTGACTGAGAAGTACTAGAGAGTGTTCTAGAAATAGGAGTGGGTCTGTGGTTACGTGATGATGGAATTTACTTAAAAATGGATAGGTTCCCAATGAAATCCAGTATATGAAGGCAATAATTAACAAAACCCCGTGTTTTCTGAGAAGCCATCCTATATAAGCATTTTGCTATATGCCTTCAATGTTTACCTCATTAGGTCCTCCCAGCACTGCTGTGAGATAGACACCATACCATCCCCAGCCACAAAGAACCAGAGGCTCAGGATGGCTAATTAACACATCCAAAGATTAGCACTCCTAAGTGGCAGAGCCAGCACAAAACCCGGGTCCAGCAGACTCTAGCGCCCACTTGAAGTCCCCACGGATGGCCCTTGGGTGACACCTCTGAATTTGGAGATACAGACCAGCATTATTAAGTCATGCCCATCAGAGACCAACTGACCAGCTTCCTCAGGTATAAGCCAGGATTCAGGCCCCATTCATTTCTGGGCATCGTCCCCTGAAAGATCTGGATGGTGGTGGAGATGTTTTCCGTGCCGACCCCAGAAGGAAGTGACCATCCAGCCCCGAGGAAACAGGATGTCACCTTTAGTTCTTGGCAGCACTTGGCAGGTCACCCACTTCGCTGAAGCCAACCTCCAGGCCATTTGGACGTCAGTCAGGAAAAACTGCTACAGCCCTCCCTCCCCACATCTAGATTCCTCCAGAGCGGCCACGCTCTACTCCGGAAGTCTGGCATATGGGGGTGGCATTCGTGGAACTGTGCAGAGCATTTTAATGTAATATCTGTTTCACAAGATAAAACGACATTTAGCCTGGCTGTGGTTGTCTGAGGCCAACCTTGTGATCATCCCATTCTGATTGGGCTGAGGGCTGAGGATTCGTGGGATGTCTCTCCTCGTCTTCGACAGCTCTCCTTTGTCCTTGAACTATCCCTGACACCCTGTTTAGAAGAGAGAGACTCACTAGCCTGTCTGTTCTCCCCACTCTGGGACCCTCTCCACAGCAGCCAAAACTATCATCTGGAGAACAAATCCGAGCACGGCCCTCCCTTTCTTGAGACATCCAATGGTTATTGCTGATGCCATCAGATAAAATTCTCATTCTTCATCCTGGCAACCAAGATTCTTCAACACTTCAACTGAATTCTCCAGCCTGACTTCATCCCTCCCAGCAACCCTACACTTGAGCCGTGTCATTCCTCGAACATGTTTTCCTACTCCCTAAGTGTTCTTTCCTACTTCATGCCTTGTGCACAGCGTTCCCTTTACTGGAGTGCCCCATGAGGATGAGCTCGGTCTGGGACAAACTGAGTCCAGGGGGTAGCAGGAATGGAAAGGAAGGAGGGTGAGATTTTGCTGGACAGGGCAGGGACAGTGTGCCGACCCACTCTTGTCTCCATCTTCCCCATCGGTGACAGTCAGACGCATGTCCTTAATTTGATGAGAATCTTGCTTTGGCAATGTGGCGTTTTGTTTTGTGTCTTGCTTTCTTTCAAAGCCAAGGAGAAACCCAAGGGGTCAGGGACGGAAATCATGCATGGAAAACATTTTCCTTATTTTTCCACTAAAATGTGCATGGGGCAGGGGCAAGAAATATTTGAGGGAGGAGAAATACATAGCAAACATGGCATTTTGAAAGATTAATTGGATGTGGATGAACATATTGAGATGATGTTCTGTTATTGTCAAAAATAATGTTTTACAGAGAAGCTATTTGTGAAGAGAGACCAGTTATTATTGATGGGCTAATGTGCCCTCAGGAATATGGAAATAATAATGCAGAGGTACAGTGCCTACAGAAAGCTGTCAGTCAAGCGTGAGGTTGGAGCGGAAAGCCTGAACACCTTCTGATTTGACTCTGCATATAGGATTTGACCTGTAGGGCCCGCATGAACAGACCCAGGGGTATTTCACAAAATCAAAAGTGGATTTTGAATGGTTTGTTGACCACTTTGCCCTCTGAGATGTGGTCTGATGATTGCTCTTAGAATTCGAGAACCAACACAAACCTGTGATTTCAGCAAACATGTGTCTCAAGTTTTAGAATCCCATTCTGATTTCAAGTATCATTCCTGATCCCCAGAACCCAGTGAACTAATCCTGTCATCCCGGTACTTCACTGTCCAGGCTATCATCTGCTCCCTTCCATCGGCCCATAGAAATGTGACAGAATTCTTTGCTCAGACCACATGTCCAAATTTTAGATTCAGGAAGCATGATTGTGAGCCCTATGAAATCAGCTTCAGCAGTGGGAAAGGATGGCATAAAGAGAATGATCTTGCGCTTTGTTCCAAGGTTTGATTTTTTGTCATGCAAAATAAAATTGCCCCAACAGAAAACATGAACAGGGAGGGTCATGATAAAGCTAAAAGATCTTAGAATGAGTAATGGGAAGAATCCTTTTTGGAGGAAATTCAGGAAGGTCAGTGGAGTTCCTTTAAATGCCAATAAGCCTGTCTGAACAAGGACCACCCCGTTATTTATTTAGATGCGGATCATGGGGTTTGCTGATGTTTCTGGCCATTGCCTCCCTTCCCCCCTTCCCCTGGGAAATATGCTTTGAGAGAGCCAAGCAAAAGCCTGCTGCTCCAGGCTCTTCAGAGCCCCAGTGACCAGTGGAGACCCAGATCTCAACCAATTTGATTTAATTTCCTAAGACATTGGGCCTGCGAGTACCTCTTCTGGGAGTACTTTGTTAAATGTTTATACAGTCTGTCATTTAGAATGCAGGACTTGGGGACAAACCCCAATTTTAGATGCAGTACTCATCATGGTCCCACAGAACTTTATATAAAAATCCCAGATCGGAGGGGGGGCGTACCTGGGCGGCTCAGTCAGTTAAGTGTCTGCCTTCAGCTCAGGTCGTGATCCCAGAGTCCCAGGAATGAGCACCACGTCAAGCTCCCTCATCCGGGGGGAGTCTACTTCTCCTTCTGCCGCTCCCCCTTCCGCTCCCCCTGCCCATGCTCTCTCTCTCTCTCTCTCTCTCTCTCACAAGTAAATAAATAAAATCTTAAAAAAAAAAAAAATCCCAAATGATCTCGCCTCTGAACCCAACAGGGGGATGGATTTGCAGGACAAATTCCCTGTCCAGCCAGTGTAAACAAGTGGCCCGTCCCCAGCCCCTCCCTGTTCTTTCTCTCTACGTTACTTTTCTCCTATCTTTCTCCACCATCAAGCATACCGTTTGATTTACTTGTCCTGTTTGCTGTTTGTGGCCTGCCCCCTGCCCCTAGAGTGTACATTTCATACATACCGTGTGAAGAAGTTGCTGGCCCAGAGTGGGTGCTTTGTGACTCTGTCAAGTGAGGAAAGAATGCACTTGGACACCTGCAGGAGCTGAATGGGGGCAGGAGGGAGGTCAGTGCAAGACCCACCAATAGATCTTCCATCGCCCCCTCTCCCCATCTGCCCCCATGCTCCTGCGATGTGTTCCAAGTCTTTTGTTTTCCACCTCTCGGCAGAGCATTGGCTGTGACGACTACCTGGGCTCGGACAAAGTGGTGGACAAGTGCGGGGTGTGCGGAGGCGACAACACGGGCTGTCAGGTTGTGTCAGGCGTGTTCAAGCACGCCCTCACCAGCCTGGGCTACCACCGAGTGGTCGAGATTCCCCAAGGAGCCACCAAAATCAACATCACCGAGATGCACAAGAGCAACAACTATTTGGGTAAGCTTGGTCTGTTTCCAGAGGAAACCGTCTGTCACTATTGGATGATTCATTCCTTCCCAGGAGCGTGACACAGCAGGGTCCAGACGTCCTTGGACTTGGAGAAGGTGCCACTGGGGAATGCCAAAGCACCACTTGGCCTCCTCCTTGACATGAGAAGCGTGGGTGGAGGAAATTTTTAAAGTCCTTGCAAATAAATATGTAACGCCTACACATATAAGCCAGCCTTCGTTCCTTCCAAGAGAAATGTGGTTATGCACTAGATACTGGGCTAAATGGTTTCTCTGAGATGGGGGAGGCTCTTTGAAAAGCCGAGGTACGGGCCAGTCTTCGTTCTGTTGGAGTTCAGCCAGGGGCCTTCGATGATCCTGTCTGGAGCTTCATTCCCTACAGGTCTGAAGTAAAAGCCGTGTTTCTCTTCTTTCTGCTTCATCTGCCCAGGGCAATGGTATATGTGTATAGTATGTGTATATCTTCTGAAGAGCTGCGGTCATTTTGGGTAATATCAACACTGAGAGGCCATTTTTACCCATTTTCCCGCGGAAGTTTAGATCTTTGTTGATACTTCCTTCTGGGTTGCTGACTGATTGCATTTTATGCAAAGCAAATTGGGTCATACGAATTCATTTTGACCAATTCCTAATTCACGTGAGCATGCACAGATTAGTTAACAAAGTAATATAAGGAAAGCAATTTCTTCAAGTCATTTAGTGAACAGCCATATTCATTTTCATTTTTTAATGATTTCTTGAACAGGAACTGAGAGAGCACAGATGTTATGTGCCAGGCGCTATTCTTAGTGCTTTTCATGTACTAAATTACTGAACCCTCTCAACAACCCTAGGGGAAAGGAGCTGTTCCCATCCGCATTTTATATAGATAAGGAAACAGGCACAGAGAGATTATGTAACTTGCTAAGGTCACACAGCAAGGAAAAGGTGGAGCTGGGATTCGAACCCAGGCAGTCGATCTCCAAGTGTGGTAGTCTATCAAGATATAGTACCCATGAGCAATTCTCCGAACCCGAGTTCTTCTCGTACACCATTGGCCATGCAGCAATCAATGGCTGCAAGCACTGAGAGAGGATTAATTTTGCAAATTTCGAGTCCAGGAACACCGCAGAAGGTAACTCCAGGCCTGATAACTGCAGATGCTGCAGCTCTTCTTTCTGCACCGGGGCAAGCGTAACCAAAATTCGCTTCTCCTGGATTGGTTGGCAGGAGGAGGAAGGGACGGCAGAGGAGACTCTGAGACAAGTCCATCTAAAGGGGAAATCTGTCCCATTTGCTCTGGCAAGCCCAGGCACCGCCAAAGTAGCAATAGCCTAGTTTTCCCAACGAGTAGTTTGGGTGTTGTCTTTAGTTGCGAGGAAATAGTCTTTGTGTGTTTCCTTCTTCTTTTTTTTTTAATATTAGAAAATCACATCTCCATGAATATCCTGTCTTCTAGAATGGCAAGTGTTCTACAGGGGATTATTCGAAGTGCAATTCCATTCAATGCATCAGCAAATAATGCCACTTTTTTATGAACTTGGTGTTGTTTTTAGTAAATTTTCCCTTGCTCAGTTTAGAAAGCTGGTTTTAAGCTGTGCCCTCTGAAGATAAAATCCTGGGTGAATATCCACCTGTTGTCTGAATGGAATCTGCTCTCAGAGCCTCAGTATTTTCATCTAGAGTAGGGGAGTAAGAATCTTGACCTTATAAGTATTCGTGACAATCAATAGGATAACAGATATTCAGAACCCAGTCACTTATTAGCAATTAACGAATGGCCATTCCCTTTCTTTTGTCTCAGAGACCTTGTCAGTGCACCAAAGCTTCATGGAGTCAAATTTCCCTGTCCCGCTAAAAAAGACTCAGTGGGAGAGTGATTCAGAAAGCCACATTTACCCTTGTAGATGCCCAGAGACCAGTGGGGTACCGGAGAAGGCCAGAGTCCATCGGCAATATTACATGATGTTCTGTGGGCACGGGAGGGAGAATGGAAACAGAAGAGGAGACTGTAGGGAAAGGTTCCAGAGCTGATGATCCAGAGCTTCTGTCTGCAGCACTTAAATCATTTAAAGCACTGGAACGCTCTTTTTTTCCTTTTGATACAATTCACATATCATAAAATTCAGGCTTTTAAATGGTCTTTTTTTTTTAAAGAGTTATTTATTTATTTATTTGAGAGTTGGGGGAAGGGGAGAGGGAGAGAGAGAATCTCCAGCAGACTGCCCGCCGAGCACAGAGCCAGACGCAGGGCTCGATCCCACGACCGTGAGATCACGATCGGAGCTGAAACCAAGAGTCGGACGCCCCACCGACTGGCCCCCCTCCAGGCGCCCCAGATAGTCTTCTTCTCATCACAGGTGTTCTCTCTACCTGTCTCACGCATCCTGCTAAATCTCCTATTCTGTCAGGTCTGTGTATTTTATTTTATTTTTTTAAAGGTAGATGTTGTTTTTTGTTTTTTTTTAAGATTTTATTTATTTATTTGAGAGAGAGAGAATGAGAGAGAGAGAGAGCATGAGGGGGGGAAGGTCAGAGGGAGAAGCAGACTCCTCGCTGAGCAAGGAGCCCGATGCGGGACTCGATCCCGGGACTCCAGGATCATGACCTGAGCCGAAGGCAGTTGCTTAACCAACTGAGCCACCCAGGCGCCCAGGTCTGTGTATTTTAAAAGTTAAATTGCATGGGATTGCTTGAGATTAGAGCATGGGTCTCTCTAGCTGTTTTTGAACTGTTCAAGGACTATTTTTTACGTTACACATTTTCAGACACTTAAATGTTTTTCAAAGAGCTATGTGGTGGGTTTCTCTACAGTTTTCCAGGTAATGATGAAGGTTTCAGTGTTCTTACCTCGTATTCCTGGCTAGGAAAACTATTTTGTATAAAAGTGTGACTCGATGCACAAAATTGATTTGGCTGTTCGCATACAGCTGTTCCGTAGAATAGGCAACAGACAGGAAATAAACAGTTCAGATTTTTATCATTGCTTTCAAAAAATGCACAACTTTTAAAGGTTTTTTCAGGTGCCTATTGTTTCCCAGAATTAGCTTTAGTTATTTGTAATGCAAATCAAGCTTTTTCTTGTGAAACACTCGGTATCTTTTAATGACTAATTCTCCAAACTTGTTAGAAATAGAAAGTAGATTTCTATGAAAACAGAAGGATTTGTATTATTAGTGCCAGAAAAGATGGTCTTACCACCTCATTTTAAAAGGTTTTTTAAAACCCTCAATATGTGAGTGACGTTCTCAATATGCCAGTCATCTAGTTAATGAGAGGAGTCATGTGTATAGTAAGTATTTCAGTCTCCAAGCGTTTTGCCGTGCCTGGCCTTCTGATTTTTCAAATTGAACATTCTTTACTTTGCCTGCTTCAAGAAAGATCTAGCTTTACTAAAGATGCAATTATAGAGTGAGGATGTGAAAATCGACATTGAAAAATCAGAAACCACATATGTAGAAGAAGGAGGCATGCATCCCCCAAATCTTGCCTAATATGTAAATAGTGATGGGGCATTCAACCTGACTCTGAGTTTATGGCTTAATTTGGTTTGACCGTCGAGAACTGGACGTTCTAGATTCAGATTCCGAAGGCCTGAGTTCTGGCCCTACCCCTGCCATAACTCACAGGGGGACAAACACACGTGGAGCTGGGGCAACAGGCCAAACGCAGCACTTCACGATGCTCACTGTTCTCTGAGCAAAGCTAGAGAAACTGTGACCTTTAATGGTGCACGGATTTTAGGAGATAGAATATTTGTCTCATTTTAGGTTGGAAGCCAATGAAATTCTGCAGACTTGAGCTCCACTTTTCAGTGTTTCTTTGAATTTGTTCACATACTCCAAAATACTGACGAGTTGGTGGATTATAGATTCCTAGATACACATTTTTTTTTAACGGAAAAGACTTTGGAACCCATGTATCTGCTAAAGCCTATGTATTCTCCTTTTGCATGTGAGTTATTCTGAACCCTGCTCTTTGGAAATAAAAAGCTAAATCTAATTTTATTAAAATGATTGGCATTTTATATTCCTTACCACTTCCTTAATAATAAGATGTTGTAAAATTATTCTAGCTGAAATATCAAAGTTGGTGTAGTTCAGCTAGCTCAGTTTACTAATGTCATTATGTAACAGTTCAGAAATCAAACATAAAAGCATACCTAGCCAAATTGATTCTACAGGACATGTTCTACCTGCCAACATGTAACATTGTCACAGAGCCTTAGACTTGGAAGAAATTTTTGAAAGGTCTATAAGCTTTTAAACATAAACTGGCAATAGCTTTACTGTTAAGCACGTTTTCCTAAAAGTTTTAAACAATAATAATAACCACCAGCATTTAAAAAATCAGGTATCATGGATCATCTATAATTTGCAAACCTTTAATTTATCAGTTGAGCAGCTCTCTATATAGGAAGGACTGGAGTATTTAAATAATAAGATGTCTTATATTTGTATGACAATTAATCCCAAAGATTTTCCATATGCATTGTAAAAATTTTGAACAATACAGATGATATAGAGCAAAAAGATGAGATTCCTTCTGTGTCCCAGCCCCACACCTGGTCCACTGCCGTCAAGTGTTAAGGCAGATAAATGACCACTCTTAGCCTTTCTCTGTGCATCTTCCAGTCCTTTGTGGAAGTACAAATATATATCTTCTAAAAGTGGTGTTAGTATACATACTTTTTGCAGTTTGCTCCTTTACTTTAATATTATATCATACCTTTTCATATTACTGCATAAAGTTAATTCATTATTTTCTGAGTACAGAATATTCCATACATCAGAGGTAATATAATCTATTTAAACAGTTCTCTATTGAGGGATGTTTAAATTGTCCCATTTTCTAATATTGCAAATAATACTTTCATTTTTGTGGTTCAAGATGGCAGACTGAGTACATGAGTTGTTTTTTTTTTTTCTCCTTTCTCTGAAGATTCCATCAAAATGAACCTAAAGGAATAAGACAGGATATAACCTACGACCACCAGAAAAACAAGAGGGG